GCTCAAACTAACATGTGATTAAAATTTAATTATCTTGTAGATTAGAGATAACTTTAAAACTTTTTTAATTTATGTTTTATATTGGTATTCGTGATATATATATTTTTTTATCATTGATTTTGAATTGTCAATACTAGAATTTATTTGGCTGAATGAATCTTATCTAATAGACATTAAGCATTATATTTTTGACAAATAATAAAAAAAGATTGTTCATTAAATTTTCTCTAACAAAGAATCTCACCAAACCTATTCGATAGTTCAGGTAACACAGCAGAAATTAATGTATTAGTGATCTCTAGGAGAATTCTCAATACAAGCTCAGAACAGTCTGTATCCAAGGTATCACAGTACAATATTTGATCACAACACAATCGCTTACCGAATGATCAACAATCAATCAAATTATAAACAATCAATCAGATGGCATCCATCAATATGATCAAGATATGCTTCGTGGGTTAGGTATATCAGGAAATTCTTAGTAGGTAGTACCTACTCGTAATCTATAGAGTAAATTAATGTCATTAGATATATAATATGTTTAATTATATATATCCCTACTAATATTATAAATGCGAAAGTAACTCTGTCTGTCTGTCTGTTACGCTTTTCCGCTTAAAATTTTATGAAATTTGGTACAGAGATAGAGTTGACCGTCAGAAAGAAAATAGGATAGTTCTTATCCCAGACTTTTGAAAGGTTCTCTTGGAAACTGGAACTGAACTCCACGCGGGCGAAGCTGCGGGCGGAAAGCTAGTAATTATATAAAAGGAAAGATACTAGTTTAAGTGGATTGATATATTTGAAGCCTAGTATTAAAATCTTTTCACTATTAATGAGAGACGCGGAACTTTTCGTATGTAGTGTGACGATGCAAACTTGTGGTAAGCTTGAATTTCATATACTGAATTTTCTAATGTATTATTTAATAAAACTTTTGTATTAAAATGGAAACAATAAAGTGTTTCAAACTATAACTAAATAGATTTTTTTATAATTTCATACATTTTGTAACCAAACTAACTTAAAATAAAAATAAATTAATAGCTTAAAATTCATTACAACAAAACAATTATCGTCGAATATATTTCGTTGTATTTTATTATATCGTACGGTTTAATAAAGCCCGTATACGGAAACGTCGCTCATAAACGCTTTACGATCGCACGGCGCTTCCGTAAAAATATTTCGGTAGCCCCGTGACGATATTATACTGACGTTTATTGGACGTCTCCCGAGCGGCGTTTCACGTTTTTATCGATAGTCGTAATTCACGCTACATTGATATATTCAGATATATCATGGAAAATAAAATCGGAAATACGTTGACAATTGCTCTTCATAATATGATTTGCTATTTATATGCTAGTTTTTGACCACGACTTCGTCCGTATTGATTCCGAAATTAGGCTTAAATATAAAAGATATACGGAATTTATAGAAAAATTATAGAGCCTATGTGTGAATTCTAAGCTAGTTACTGTAAATTTCCATAAGTCTTCATACTTATAACTTTAGAAGCAAATACTGTTTTTTTGATTAGACCAATTAAAAAGGCAATTGAATCCAGAGTAATGTAACCATAATGTCGTTTCAAATAGTATATATATGAAATATATTTGAGCAGAATAACCCCAACGATTTGCGTCATAACGTATCCAGTAATAAACGTCAGGCGAACGTTTGTCGGACTTACAGTTTATGATAATGACATGATACTGATGGAATGGTCACGGTCACCCCAGTCTGTAATTGTCATTATGATTACAACGAATGTAATCTGTTGTAATATTTTGTAATTGTAATTATGCAGCGATGTTATATATGATTATGGTTATTGTAACTGTTCGGAATTCTATAAAATTGAGTTTTCTTAAGATGAACTGGGAACAGTAGATTTCTTGTAATTTCATTTTAAAATAACAGACTCGTTAACAAAAATATAAAATGTATATTTTTGAGAAATACTTCTGTTTGTAGACGATGTGTCCAATTTCTTAGCGTCATTTTGTTTTCACATGGAAATTTATTCTACTAAGAAATACAACTATTGCTTAAACAAATGTGCTAAAAAGACAAACGTTTTCTTAGTTCTCCCAGCGACATATGATAATAGCATTGGATAATACCACTACTATGGGTTTAAAATCTGTTTAATTTGTATTCTTATTAGAATGCATATTATTTATCTGTGCTTTTTTTAACTTTGACACCTGTCACTTGATTGTCAATAAGGATTCCAATACAGAATTCTTATTGGAATTATGTATGAAGATTAATAAAAATTTCATTTTTATATCAATGTCATAAATTAGTAAATTAAAATAAAATTAATATGTAATATTTTCTCTTGAGAGAAGCATACAAGTAAAAAATATATAAGGCTTAATCTAACTGTATGAATGTGAAAATTGTAAAGATAATAATTAATATTTATGAACGAGAATATTTTAATTCCAATAGTAAGGGACAATCTACCTTGCATTCACAGATACTGTCTCTGGAGTATATTTAGAGAATAAACTTTATGTTTCTAGTTTATGCTGTAAGGAATCCAGGAACTTCGCATTCTAAGATATTAAGCAAAACTTCTGAGTGACAATTACAGCTAAGTTTAAGATAGCTATTAGTTTGTTCCTCTATACACATCCTATTAAAGCAGACACTGTATGCTTAGTATGAGTTTCCATTGCCACACTAAACGAAAATTTTGCAGTTTTTCTATCACGAATATATGAAAAATATGTTATTTATGTAGGTTATTCAATGAGTTACACAAGAAGCTACGTATGAAGTGGGTCGATTCAAGACGCAGACGAGGTAGAGGTAAGTTGATTTACTATTTTAAGAGATTATTTAATGTATAGGAAAAGATGTAGTTATTCGCGTAAATATATAAAAAAGTTTTAAATTTCTCTAAAAACACTCATATACTTTTACAGTTTTATATAAGGTATTTTTGGATATAGTAAAATTTCGCAATGCAATCGTTATTATTTACTATATGTATAATTATGTATTCATACTAAATCGAATCAGATACAAACCTGTCGGTAATCTTTTATTTGTTGTCGGTTTTTAAATATGTAAATTTGTCTGTAGCCATATATTTGACAAATAGCTCTAAAACATTTTAATTACATACATATACCTATAAGGTGTATACTGGATAGTAATCCTGGGGGCGAAGTTAGTTTATTAATTGGAACAAAATTAATAGTCAATTAGACAGAATTTGTCCGTAAATCCTCTTAAACCGTGATGTAATTAATTCTTGATTATTATACCGAGTTGGTACTAAGTCGACGTTACGAAAGGGTTGGCCTTCTGTGTTTACACAAAATTCATTTATTTAAATAATAAATTAGGAGGAATTTATTTATAAAAGAAAGTCGTGTTAGTTACACTATTTGTAACTCAAGAACGGCTGTACGGGCTTAGATAAAAATTGATGAAGAGATAGCTTAGAACATTGGAAAGGACATAGGATATTTTTAGTCCGATTGAAAAAGAAAAAAAACTATTTACTGTCTTTAAGGAGAAATAGAGTTCAGCCAGTCAGTTATACAATTCTGATTCTGAAACGCAGACGAATTCGAGGGCAAAAACTAGTATCTTATAAATTTAGTTCAAAGTCGCGAAACAGATTTATCTTCTATATAGTACGAATATAAGTAATTTTAGTATTATCAATTATCAGAAAAGTCAATGATTGTTAATGAAGGGTTCCGTATAAGCTATCTTTGTAATTATTGTGATAGAATTCGGACCCCATAGAATTATGGGGGGTGAGGCATGCGTGTTTTAATTAGTATGGGATTATTGGTATTGTTGATTAATTGTAAGAGTTTTAGCCACCTGATGTTTTTGCATATACCAACTATCTGGCAGAATGGTGATGACAATGAAATTGAAGCAGTTTTTTTTTTATTAAAGCAGAAAGAGGTTGCTCTTTAAAATAATTGGTATTTTGATTAATAAATTCTATTTGAATGTTATTTTTCTCTTGTTTTTTATACATATTATAATGAACTCTTAATAAATTCTTTACATACATCATTGATATAATATAAAATTATGTTTAATGATAGAGTAATACTTTTAGTTATTTTGTGTATGTACAAGAATAAATTTGATTAAACATACCAAATAGGTGTTGAAGTCGGGTCTCCTAAAATACTGTTTTTTGATCTTTTTCATATATTTTTTGTTCTTCAAGCTTTGTATTAAATCCATCCGCTATATTTCAATTTTTCTATACAACAATGTTTCTCTTATTTCCAATATGGTGTTGAAACTTTTGCAATCTTATAAGCAAATGTCAGGTAACAATTCAGAACTGTGACGTTTCAATTTGAAATTTTTCTGGATATGAATCAAAAGGGTAGTTGTTCTAGATTTATTTAGCTTGTATGAAAATTCTTGGAGGATATCGTATTCTATTCAACGTAATACAAAATAAAGTTTATAGATATACATAGATATTTATCTATATTTCCATGTAGTTTCATGAAGTTTTCCATTTTAATAACAACGATTCGACATAATATGACACTACTGAAATATATACAAAATATATATTGACGATATTTTGTTCTTTGGTTGGAATCAAATTTCTTAATTTAGTTTATAGAACGGGACAAACAGTTTAAATTATTCAAGTGCTAAACCCACGTCAGTTAACCTACGTCCAACACAATCCACACTCCACAATGACGTCATTGAAAAGGCAAACCTACGGGATCATAAGTGAGATTGGTTTTGACGCTCCAACGCCCTTTGACACTCGAAAATTTCAATCTGTATGTGAAAAGGCAGCCAAAGGGACTGTGCTCCACTGTGACATCAAAAAGAGAAACGTGTTATTACAAAACCAAATTGTTCATCATCCATTGCTTCGTACGTTTTATATATTTGAAATCATTCATGAAAAAATACAGCAATGTATATCGAGCATTTCTATATGTTGTGTATGTAATTTATGTAAATTGTTTTAGGGTGTATCGAAGATGTACGCCAGTTCGGTTCTTGTAGAGGCCTTTGTGAATACATAACATGCATTTAAGTTACACGTTCTTAAGTAACAAGTTAAACCTGTAGGAAGTTACAAATGTAGCTTAATCCATTCTACATAATACACTTAGTTTTAGTTCTGTAGACTATAGACTACAGACGTGTCTTAACAATTACTACTTACGTATTAATGTATTTCATCTTATATTATCTTGTGTTTAATATTTTCCTATTTAAATAAAGTTACAGTCATATAATGTTCGTCCAGTAATTTGACTTATTATTTATGTCTATATTGTATAAGTATGAACAAAACTACTATACATAGTATATGAAATGTGACAATAATAATTTATCAATCGCTCAAATACGGGTTGGCTATAACAAATTATATATATCTAAGATATTTAACAATATAAAGTATAAAGTTAACGCTTAACATCTATCAACAACATGCAAATTGCGTTACAAAGGCTCCTAAAGGCGGTCATAGATCGCCCGCATACTCTAAGCTCTTGACGTCAAGTATAAAACATAAAATGTCTGAGCCTCGCAAACTTATTGAGTGCTCTTAAAGAATATTATTCGAACGTCTCCACGATACTTAACCTTATTTTTTATTATGTAAATCTAAGCTGGTACTACAATGATGGTTTGTTTTGATTGAAATATTATATTCACTGAGTTATTATAAACAGATTTTTATTATTAGATATAAAACATATAACTCAATATTAAATTGTTTTAAATTCATCTTACTTTAGAAATTTTCATGTTTTTATATAAAAACAAATTGTCTACTTGCAAGTCGTCTGATTTGTATGAATGAATTTATTTAACGATTTAATTTCTTATTTAAATAATCAAATATTAGCATTTACGTCTTTGTAATTATTTAAAATTTTAATTTTAATTCTTCGTTTCTTCTAATATCTCTCGTATAAAATATAAAGAATCCGGTATATAAGCATATTTTGATGTGAAAAAATCACTTAAATAAGTATATATTAGATTGATAATATCTTCATAAAATTAAGTGAGTATATATTTTCATACATAAAATTAATTTTTGTTTCATAGTTGAATCACAAAACTTTGACATATTAAAATTGTTAAGCTATGTATCGGATTTATTACAATTTCGTTGTTTTTGAAGAGAGAGACGCCAGCCTCGCTGACGTTACAAATGTCATTTCTTCTAGAAAGTTCCATGATATTTTAAAATGAAACCTCAATTGTTCTTAATGCTCCTGTATTTCTCGAAGTTCTTCATAATCACATACTTCAATGATACGCACTCACTGAACTCTGAACTCTGCCGTCGTGCGTCCAGACGTCATATTTATACCAAGATTTAAACATAGTTCTATTCTCCTTTTAAGCAACCTTTGATTTCGTTTTACTTTTAACAATAATCATGAATACTAATGAGTTTTAATAAGAATTGATGACAGCCTCAAATTATTTTCATGCCACATTCGTTATTAAAGCTGATAGCGCCGATATATAAAGGAATAAGTGCTGCATAACAGATAAGTATCTATGTACATTAAGCAGTACTTAATACAATAAATATTTAATACAATAAGCTGTACTTCATACATCTCATACATTAATTGTTAGAACAAAATAACTAGTAATATCTATCTATTTTCTTTTCATTTTCCATATATACTTCAACGTACGTATGAGAGTGCCTTCATATTTTCGTAGCAAATTGATTCCCTCACTCAGCACGTATCCGCAATACCTTATTGTTGTTTATTTACAATTTCCAGATATTCAGTATGAGAAGTATTTTGCTTTTATTTTACGCAATAACAGCAATAAAATCTGTTTGTGAAGTAAAATAAAGTTTTGTGATATATTATTATAAGATTTATTGTCGTAGACATTAAAAGGAAGACATTAAAAATATTTCATAAAACTTTATTTTATTAAATTCGACGTCAATATTCATAGCGCAGAACAGACGTAAGGCGATTTTAAAATCAATGTAACAAATTTTGTAGGGGGCATTAGTATTGTGAGGATTCAATATAGAATAATATAAAGGCATGAAATTTTTAAAGGGTTCGTTGGTACAACACCGATATCCACAACCCTATCGACATATTGACGATAAAATGTACAAAAGATTTTACATTAATATGACATACCATTAAAAATATTACTAACAGAATCACCGAATCACTCTCGCGGAAGATCCGACATCAATTCGTGTCAATATTAAAGTATATAATATAATATTTATTACATATTCTTATTAAAGGATTTACATTTGCATATGATATGATTGATCGATGTCGTAAAATTTAAACGGCTGAGGTAATACAAATGCGCTTTTGCATTTTTTTTTGCAACGATGACACGCTTTTTAATAGAAATATATGCTAATGAATGTAAACATTAATTTGTAACGGCTGATTTGTTAATATACGACTTACATTTGCATAATCATGCAGATTTCGAATCTTTTTGATAATCACAGCGATGACATTTACTGCATAGTTTCATGATGTATCGATAGTAAAATATTATTGCCCGCCATTAACGCGTAATGACTTTATTTGAGCGCATCTGCGGTTCGCATACCGATAATAGATGCAATTAAAAAAAATAAAACTTCATATAACAATAACAATTGAAAGTTTTGTTTCATACATTCTCACGGAGGGCTGATTCAAAGGGTTTTAAAAATGACAGTTTTAAAGTGACGCCGTTTCGTCACGGTTGGTACTGAGTTGCGTCAGTGACAGTGAAGAGTATGGTGAATTGCTGCTCGTGCGAAAATTTTATATTGACATTGATTTGAATGAAACATGGTACTGGTGTGACGGATTGTTTCCGATTTTAGGACAGCAATTAAAAACTATGGGATAAATTTAATATTGCACAGATTTAAAAAAATGTTAGGTACATTTTAACGAGATTTATTTTAACCTTAATAATTGTTTTCATAATTGTTTGTTAAAACGAACTTTTCGAAGATTTTGTATGGAACTCTTTGGAAAATTTACATCATTTTCTCAGTAACAGTAATAAATTAAACGATTTAACACAATAGTAAAATTCTCCTGAAATCGCATACCTTAATGGAACATGTGAATTAATCCATGTATTATCAGTTTAATTTTCATCACGGACAATGGGGGACCATAAAAAAACAATAACCATCGCAGGTTAATTTGGAAACCATTGCAATTAGTACGGTATAAAGCTGGATCGTAAAAAAGCACTAAGTTCTTTGTAAGGAATCCTCACGGGAGATAACGATATTAAAGGGTTTTATTATTTAACAGAATAATTGTAATTAGTTAATTGTTTTTATAGATAATACAGTATTTTACTACCTTTTTTAATATAAAAAACTTGAAAGTTATTAGAACTATTATCGCTAAAATATTCTACATTTATTAATTGACAGAATAATGCATTAGAATATTATTTAATTCAATTAAAATAACACTGTCTGTTAATTCGATTCTCCTGACATTTTCATTAAGAAAAATAACGTAACGTAAATAAGTATTAGGTCGGCCAGATGTCGTCACTGTTGGGTCGTAACTCCTTTTTACTCTGTTTTATTGCAAACGAACCGAATGTTAGCCAGCTCTGGTTTTTCATTAAGCTTCCTCTACATTTAACTGTTTGAGTTGTTGACAGCCGAAATAATGATTGACTTTTTTTATATCATTTTTATTCCTGTATTGTTGACACAAGTAAATATATCTCTAAATTTAATTGTATAGGTTTTATTATGAAAATAAATTTTAATAAATCTAGGAACGTATAATATTTCTTTTCAGATAACACTGACTTTAGAAATGAAAGATTTTTGTTTTCTATTCAGAAATATGTTGAATAACTGTTCCACTTGTATATCTTACATAATTTTATCTCTAACTTAAACAAAAATATAACGTATTCCTGAATTATTTATTTTATTTTGTCAGTCTACGCCGAGGAATAACATATTTTCTATCGGTACGACAAAAGCATAAATTTATAAAGTGGTGGATGTTCATGTTATATGTAGTTGTTGGTATAAAGAGATGAATTGAATCATAAGGTTGTTTTTCAATATATCTATTAATAAAATAGATAAACTTACTTCTTCATTATCAAAATAAAGATTATCCTTGAAATGAGATTGTAATCTGTAATTTATTAATAATTTTGATTAATAGGATTACGATTGACTGAAACTTTTAGCTCCAAAGTTAATAACAAAATTAAATTTTGTGCAGAGTTAATTAAAATCTTTTACTTTCTTTTTACAAACATAACAAAGATATCATTTTTTTAAATATTTTTATTTTAGTATATCAATAAACCTCAAAAAACAAAAAAGAACACGAAATAAATACAAACTTTCTTTGTGTATCATTTATTAAAGCATATTGTTCATGACAAAAATCAGTACCACTAATAGCCTGAAATTGGATATAATATGGATAGAAATACAAAAATTAATTACAATTTGTTGTTTTGACACTTCTCTGATTATAGATATGGAAGGCCCTATAACAGAACACGGACAGTCGTCATCATTTCCTATTATATTTCATTATATTGACATTAAAAATATAAACCTTTTCATCTATATTAAATAACAGGTTGATTCCCAAATATAAGTTGAGATTTATATAGAAACATTTTCAATTTAATTTTGCTTATAATATTGAAGGTATATAAATGATTTTGTACCAATATAGTTCTGTGATGGGACCACACAACCCCATAATTGGGTAAAACCGTTATCTGACCAAAGATCTTAAAAAGGAAATTGTAATTACAGCAATTTCCTTTCCGTGTCTGTATTTTTCGACAGTCCTTTTATTACAATTTTGATAATAAACCTTTGACAGCGCTAAAGATGAGTATTAATTTCATTTGAGAATTATTTGGTTAAAAAAAATACAATTTATACGAAAACGAGATATTCAAAATGGTCTTACAAATTATGTCTTATTGTTCCATCATCATCATCATCATCAGCCTATCAGAGCCCACTGCTGAGCAAATACCTCTTCCCATA